AACGAGTTTTGGTAGAGTTCGACATTTTTCAATGTAGGGCTAGGTATAGCCGTGCGGACAGAGTGTCAATATTCTGATCCGCATTCGCTTGCCGGTCGTGGGTTCGATTCCCATCGACTGCAGAAATTTTTCTAATGGCCCAAGAAAGTGTTTGGGATCACACGTTAAAAGGTAAGGCCCCCGTCATCCTTGCTCGCACAAGACTCTCGAAGACTTCTGAGGGTTGCTCGTAAGGGGGCAACCGAATGACGGATAGAACAATTTTAAAACAATTTTAGAACCAATTTTAAAACAATTTTAGAACAATTTTAGAACAATTTAGAACGACCGGGAATATTGCATACCACCTCCGAATATTAATAGTTCAAATTATTATGCATCAGTTCATAGTTCATCTTTCGTTGCGTTCATGAACGTATTACGTCCATGGTTGCCTTCGTCGAAATGAATTTCATTGGCCCATGGAGTTTTCATTTGCAGTGCAAGTGTATAGTGTAAGTACCTACTTACCAACAAACTGTGGTACTGTGAAGTGTGAACTGTACCTGTTAGTGGTAACGCGAAGAGTTGTTACCGGAGTTGAACAGTAAGTAAAATAACAATTCGTTCCATCTTGAAACTGAAATGGCAGGTGAACGTTGCACGCGTTATTGAGGAGATCGAGAAAATCTCAATGTTCATAACATACCTGCAGATTATTGAGATTCTGTGATATTTTCCAGTTTTTTCTCTAAAGGAGTATGTCCCTGACGGCGGTAGAAAAATATTGATTCAGAGTTTGAACATTCACTCATTTGTAGTGGTGAATAATAACCGTACAGGTAGGGTCCCTAATAACTGGTACTTCAGTATGTCATTTATTGCCTCAATCATACTATTTTGTAGTGGTTATATTTGATGAATGTTAGGACTAGCGCCTATTTAACCACAACGCTTGGTATGGTCATCGTCCATATGGTAGAGTGCACGGATTTGTTGCATCAACAAATTATTTATGCTTGAGTTATTTTTGTTGGACTGAGCAATTTTTTGTTGAATCAACCAGATACATGATTATTCCATGGAAGCAGCTTGTTCAAATCAAGAATGTAGGCTAATTGAATCAACAGTATAATATCAATTCCATCAACAAAATATATATGGTTTCTTTAAAAACAAATTATGTCGATCCAAAATAACGTCGATGTTGATTCAACTATAAAAATTTCGTTGATTCGATCAAACAATGATCATTTTGATGAGATTATATCTTTGAAACATTATTCAAGTTCTCTTATTCCGATGTAGCAATGAATTCGTTTCGAACAGATCATTTGCTTGAATAGAGCAACGAAATATGTGAAATCAATAAAATATTTTGTCCATTCTACATCAACTTAAATTTTCTCCTCTAGATGGCGATCATTTCGCATCGTCTATGCCTCCCTCGAATTCATTATATACGTGAAGCCTGATTCTTCGTGTTTGAAATATCAGCTGGATGAATCGAACTTAGGATGATTAGCAATCCGAAATAGTTTTCCATTAGCTAAGAAGAAGTAAAGACTTGAGATCTATGCTGGAAGTCAACTAGTTTCCTAGTTTTGTTTATTCTATTGATGTGAAATTTCAGAAAATTTCCGAATATTGAATTTGGCTCAACAAAACAATTTGTCGACTGGATATATAGTTTCTCGCGAATCAACAAAATATCTCATTGAATTAACCAAATATTCAATTGAATCAACCAAACGTTTTATTGAATCAACCAAATATTTCTTTGAATCAACCAAATATTTCGTTGAATCAACTAAATATTTGATTGAATCAATATTTTATTATTTTGAATCAAACAAAATGATTGTTTGAGCCAATTCAATATCTCTTCATAAACAATTCATGGATGTGCTTGATTGAAGAAGATCCAGAGTTCATGTAAGACATATTTACTTGATTCAAACTTCAAATTCGCTCTGAAACAAGATATAGATTTACTCATTTCAAGATTATATTATGTCGTGCATATATGACACTTTTATTCGCTCTATTCAATTAAATTTTGCTTGATTCAACAATTCCTTTTTTCCGTGTGACCATTAGGTATTTACAACGGATATTTCTCTCAGTGTGGCCTTGCTAGTGATGGAATTATAGCACAGATTTCTGAGGAACATTTCACGTGGAAGTATCTATGAAAAAGTGGTAGGTCGCCAACTTTTCCAAGGAGTTCTAATGGGGTCAAAGAGGTGGTGAGTGTGGGCTCACCCACTATGCGAATGGCTATTCTCTGGATGAAATCTAAGAGAATCAGCGTACTTTTGGGTGCTGAACCCCATACATGAGAACATTATTCTAAAACTGTCCGTATCTGCATACGATACTTTTAGATTCAAACTACTTACTTATAGTATAGGTATAGTCTATGCTATGGTCTATGCAAATAAGTCAGTTGATGGAGCCTCGGGCAAACAATCTCCGCCACTCTCTTGGCCGAGACAGATATACGAAAATATTTTCTGGATATACAGGGTGTCCCTAAAGAGTCTGTATAAAATATCAGCATATATAATAAATAAGCCGATTATAAGCAAATTACCTCCGAAATTGCTCCATTTCCAAGATATAGGGCGATAAAGTTAAAAAATAAGAATGGAATTCTTGACTTAAAAAATTGATAGCCGAGGACTTTTTGAGATGCGAGAGCCGAATACCGACACCTTTTCACTGATGTGGCCAATATAGAAGACGCTTACTCATAATGCAGCACTTCTTATATGACTTTAAATGGACATAACTCTTCTTCAGTGTAGTTTTTCTTTTTTTTTTGTAGAGGAAATAATTTTCTGAATATTTTCAAGCAAAAATAAGTACACTTGCGAAAACCGATCTAGGGATAGTTCGGTTTTTAGTGTTCGATGCCGCACCGGAATACCTACACTGAAAAAAATAGTCGGTAGTAAATAGGTACTTACCAAACGTTTAGTAAAATAGAAGCCAGTCACTACATTCATCTAATGATACTACAAAATAGTATACTTATTTTGTTGTGATATATATTATTTGATGAATGTAGTGACTGGCGAAACGTTTGGTATACCTATATTCATTACCGACTATTTCTCTGAGTGTAAATATTCAGATTAGTTTGAATAAAAAATGTGTGCTGTTATATATCTTCGTAGATGTAATTTGGTCAGTGCATAAATGAACTTATGAAAAACTTACTTGCCTTAACTTATTTAATTGAAATTCCTATAGTGAGTGTTTAGTTAGTATTCAATAATTATCATTATTCTCGTTTCGAAAGCGACTCGTTAATTAAATATTCTATTTGTATGTATAGGTATGTACCTATCTAAATTAAATGTACTTCATGGGATATAACCTAATTGGTGGGTAGGTAGGTATATAAGTAGGTAGAGGGATGTGGATATACCAATCTAAGTATTTATTTTGATATTGATATACTTATTATGGTCACTCAAAAATATCAATAAATACATGCACCTGAAGATTATGTTAAGATGTTGGTGATTATATTATAATGAATATTTGAGTGATGTGATTTGCTTTTATCAATATAATCATTCCAATAATTCCATCTCTCTTTAATTTTAGAATTAATGCGGATAAACGTTTATTTCCAACTCTGAAAAATCACTAAAGAAATCATTGTTACCTCAACAATATTCTAGTCAATATACCTAAGCATGCACAATTCACGTCTATATATATCAGAAAAATGTCGATCAAAATCAAGTTCTGATTATGGTAACGCAGTAAAGCATTGTTTGTATAATAACATAATATCTGGTTGTACATATACACAAAGCATGATTCGTTAGCGTGAAATGCAATATTTTAACTTGTTATTAAATAGATAAGTTACTGTGTACGCACGATATTCTTCGAACATTATACGAATTTTCTTTCGTGCGCTCCAAGAGATAAAAAAAGAGATGTTCAACTAATATTCGATTAAACACATGAATAATATCTTGACGACGCCACTGGAATTCAAATTTATTGATATAAAATGAACAAAGTTGAGCGTGACTACAATGGCATAGAAATATCCTCATACCTATTATACAGGGTGAAGAACCTACATTCATCAAAGTATTATAATGAAGTTGGAAATTCAAAACGATAAAGTTATAGGATATTATTGTCAAGATATCGATTTCAAATTCGGTGTGCTATTTTGTTATGAAAACTGAACACTTGTATAATTTCATTTAACTTTTCAATATAAGTTTTTTTGAACTGATCCAATATGTCAAATCTTTGTGAAATATTGAGAAAAAGGTAAAAAAAAACGATTCTTTTGCAATGCATGAACATACAGATATCTACATATATCATTTGAGAAAAAATAGGAATTACCAATTCAATCACCCATGATCTACTTATATATATACGAAACAAAAAAATATTGAAAAAAAATCGAATGTAGGTAATCGAACTATTACAAAATCATAGAACTTTTCGAATTGGGTAGAATGAGCATAGGTAATGAGAATATCAATAGACACAAAAATATCAATTTCAATGTACTTATCGACCTAATTCTTCATCTTCGTGACAACGTGTCGAGAAAACTGAAATATATGTATATATGATAGAATTACAAGAAATAATGTAAATTCTATATACGCTATCCAACTGTTCCATACAGTAAATCACCTACAAAACTGAAACAATTACGTATTCAAAAAAGTACGTCGTCGTACACGGTCGACACTAGTTGGCATTTCGCCCCAAAGAAAAAATCATGCTAATCAACTAATGAATTCCACAAATCTCGCCATCCGATCTCGTCCTCCCGTCAAATCATCAAGTTTCCTACACGAAAAAAACAGGAATCAACAAGTAAAACGTGTCGTCGCGGCCAACCCTCCTCTCCCATTGGCTGCTCACCGGCCAACTAGCGCCGCACCGTCAAACACTCGGTCCAATCACAACAGCGCCTCGAGCGCCAATCGCGTCTTACCACGCCCTCTAGCGTCACGACACCAAGAATGGCTCTCCGTGAGATCAGTCCAGCTGTGAACACCGGGCGCACCAGTCACCCTACAGGAGTACCAACCCGAACGAAAAAAAAAAAAACAACCGTTGCGCGAAAACAATGTCGTGTTCGTGATACTTTACAGCGAGTGAACAGTGAACAATTAGTAATGATAAACGCTTTCATGGATGGTGGTCACCACCACCATCACCTAGCCACCTACGGTCTCAAGATGTCTCCGGGACCCAACGGCAACCAAACCCAAGCGCCGGACAGCAACCAGAACCATTTCCAGGCTAACTACCCGCATATGGGACACCATTTGAACCCGCACGCGGGCTACGCAGCCCGCGACTTTTTGCTGCGTCGAGACCACCACGAGTTTCCTACTGCAGCTCAAACAGCCCCAAACGATCCCGTGCTGTTCCACCATCACCACACGGAGATGCCGCCTCATCATAATCCCCACCTAGCGCCGCCACACCACCAATACCACACTGCCTATCACCCACCCGCACACCACCAATACCTCAACCCCCATATGGGTATGCCGCCTCACCATCCCGCGAATGCCCACGGTGCTTTCTTCCGATACATGCGGCAACCCGTTAAGCAGGAGATGCAGTGCATGTGGATAGACCCAGAACAGCCCCAGCCGAGGAAGACCTGCTCGAAGCACTTCACCAGCATGCACGAAATCGTCACCCACTTGACGGTGGAGCATGTGGGTGGGCCTGAGTGCACGACCCACGCATGTTTTTGGCAGAACTGCGCGAGGAACGGGAGGCCCTTCAAGGCTAAGTATAAGCTGGTGAACCACATAAGGGTGCATACGGGGGAGAAGCCGTTTCCGTGTCCGTTTCCCGGATGTGGAAAGGTATTTGCGAGGAGCGAGAATCTGAAGATACACAAGAGGACGCATACGGGTGAGTCTCAATTGCTTTGTATTGTCTTAGATGGCTCCAGATTTGAGTACCCGTGAACAAGGGAGGGGTATTGTTTTGTAATCAAGGAGTTTCATTGACATGGGTATCTTCCGCGGGTTGATGTTTTATTGTCTCTGCTGGTATTAGATTTACTGCTTTGAAGCACGTTTGAGTGGTGGTATACCGAAGACGGTTGGGTTAGGTATAACACGGTATGACAGGTGGAGCGCCTTTGATTGCGGAAGATCAATAGCACGTTAGGTTTATGGGATACCAACTGGGTAATATTGATGTTAGCTTCATCAATTATCACGATAGTTCTCATTGTTAGCCCTCTGGAATAGGTATCTCGCAAGGAATTGCACAGCCATGTTTTTTTCATTGGTAAAATTCAATTGGCCACAGATCTAGTTTCGTTATCTACACATTCATTGAATCATCCTAAGGAATAGTCATATTGAAACTTGAATCTGTATCCGTCGATTCCATTTTTCAGTCATTTCGTTCGGTCTAGGTATTCTGGTGTTCAATTGATAGTTGAATTCAGGGAGGGTTACATTTGAAAGTGTCAATTTATATGTGTGTGTGCAAGGAATACCAATAATCATAATGAAAGTATGAAAGACGCATTAGAATATGTAAGAAAACTTCTCATCAAACGATAAGATTTCCGCAAATTTCTTGATTATAGTTAGGTAACTAGATTTATTTGGCAACTTCACAATTCACATGTTTGCTGCAAGTTAGGTAGTTTGAAAGATCTCAATACAAACATTTATAAATGTGATTGAAATCCGCTGGAAATTAAAAATGTATAACATCTCTGGTATTCAGGTCAACGTACACATAAAACATAGAATGTATAAGCCTATACCGAATACAACATAAATATAAATTAGTTAAATCATCTAATGTTCATGAGACATAACAGCACCATGATCAGTTAAGAAGGTGTCTTCATGAGTTCTGAAGAATCTGTTCAGATACCAATTCTTTTTCATTATAAAAACACTTAAGATGGCAGACATAACTCTGATTCGATCTAAGAGTTTTGTTCACATCTTATCGTTTGTGGAGTTTTTACATTACTATGCAGTTCCGTCAAGTAACGGCTGAGTTAGTTGAAAAAGAAAATCAATAGAACAGTAGCTATGACTGACGGTAATACCAAGAATGCTAATATTTATGAACACATTGATTTGTATTATTTCTTCTTATTTCTATTTGCATTTGGCGAAGTGTGTGTCATCTATACCATTATATTTCTCAACTCATGATAGAGAAAAAACTGTAGTCATTTTATCAAACTGTCCAATTTCCATTCTGACAATATGCATACTTCCTTATCTCTATGGTTGAAATTCAATTAAAATCACAGTCTGTACCTGTCAGTTCATTTTTTATCATGATTGTGGTTCTTCTCAAACAGAAGAAATAATAGCGTTTTATGATGGATTTAACGGCACCAGAAACAATAAAAAACGAAATCCATCCCGAACACATTTGTCTTCCTTCAAAGCCTTTGTCTTTTTTATTTGACTTATTTATTCCTTCTGAGAAAGGATATCTATGCCTACCCATAGAATACCTAGGGAAAATAGTATTTAAATTGATTTTTAACATTTTGACCCAGAGCTAAGGGGCGTTACGTAGATGCCAGGCAAACAGTCCAACAATAGTCACAAGTTTTCTACTTGACAATAATCTGTTGGTTCTGAGAACGATGCCCATTGTATTCACTTCTGGGAATTCGAACTATTAAGCGTATTATATCGAGATGAACAGATTATGTCAGAGATACGAACAATTTGGTATTATGGTAACTAGAGGTCATCGAATTGCAATTATAGAATGATCATTATTTTATTTTAAACCGGTTGAATAGACGTAAATATGAGGTATTGGATACCTCTCAGGTTATCTTGACACAATTCATATGGATATGATTATGATACACTTAATCATAGTCTTCATTTTCTGGTTACTTGGATAACATTGAACACTCCTATCCATAGTAAACCAATAGTTGTGAGATCGATGTAAAAACTGTTGAAAAATCAGAGGCGATATGCTGATGATGATGACAGTGATGAACATTCAAATTTGAATCAAAAATACTTCTTCTCCGCTTGCAACTTGAATTGGATTCGATATAAAAAATGTGGAGAAATGGCAGGTGTTGTGAAAAATAAGTATACATGGTTAGAAAGAGCCCCTTCAGAAGATATATAACATGGTATAACTTGCAATTTAAACATATAATAAGAGGTCAAAGAAAATCGGAATTATACAATCCATTTTTTGAGAATTGTATGTAACTTATATAAAACATACCTACTACTGACTATTATTAATATGAATGTAATCAACAAAAGTACATATCCTAATATTTTTATGTGAATCACTGAGAAATCGGAAGTTGTGGAATCAATTCCGATTCATCTAGTCGAGAACATAAATCTTCCCACTCAATCTCATGAATATTCGATGATGCTCATCGCCGTCTAGTTATCGACTGTCGCAACAAAAGCCTATCTACAATGCCCCAACGACTATTTTGACACGAGTGCGATCGCGCATTGTGTGACAAAAGTGAAGAGCACACACATGTGTGCACCCCCTCTGCAATCCTGCGAGGCGGGTTAGTCAAGTAGGCCGGTTGATTGGGCACCCGAAACTGTCGAGCACTCTCGAATGTTCGTTCGTTCGGTGGTGATAATATGTCTAATTTGGGTGAATCAGTGAAAAAATATTGCGACAAAAGACATCATGAGAAAATTGAGAAATTTTATCCCACACCTGACACCATTATTAAGAAAACGGGTTTAAGCCTCGAACCGAGCTCATTCGCTTGATATTATTTCATATCTAGAGTCTCCTAGGCTAATTCATTCGAAACAATCACATTTCGAATTTCGAAATCAATGAATTCTGAGTTAGACTTAGTGAAGATGAATAATGGATTAAAGTATATAATATAATTATCATTTTTCTGACAATAGGTGCAGATGCTATAAATAATTACTGATAGCAGGATTGGATTAAATTCTTGATATGCTGAATGTAAAAGGCAAGAGGAAGCAGAAAATGAACAGATCATGGGTTTTCTTTTGAGCTTTGATAGCTTTACTGTCAATAATGACAAAGTAACTGAGAACATCTACAAGATGACATATTTATACAAATCATGATTTCCGTTAATTTGATCTGGTAGCATCTAAAGGAAATACTTTCACATAGAAGGATCTGTAAGCATTTAAATAATTATTTCAAAATATAAAATCTCCCATGATTTTATATTGAATCAAGAAGTGGCATTTTCTCACAACAAATCTTAATATTAATTTATGGATCCTGATCAATCTTCCAAATTAGTGGGCTAATAAAATACATCCTAACATGTTATCTACCTTATGAATATTAGAAATGTTATGCAAGAAATATTAATTATTATGAGCATTTCAGAACTATCATGCATGGTTAGTTTGAAAGTGCATTTTTTTGTATTCGAATGTTGTGGGAGCAGCATTTATTCCATGCAAAAGGTCAACGGCATGTATACCTACAAAATTACATACCATTCTAATTTTGAATCAAACTTTTTTACAACTGGTTATCATTTATCTGTGAAAACAATAAAAGTATGCCTAGAGTGCTGTGATTTTCTTAAAAATGTTCATGTTTGACCGAGACAACACAAAGAATAGCAAAAACGTTGGTTGTTGTTGAAAACACATTAAAAACGATGAATGTCCATAATGAAATTTTATAATTACCACTAATGATCTATAAATGTTTATGGAAAGAGAATGCATTTATTACATTTTTTCTTTCTTCCTGATAGTCCAATATTTTGAAATCATATTTTGTACCTGGAGCACTGACATTCTGGCTCTGATATACATGTGCACTCAGCCTCATATGTTTCTTAACTACTTTTTGACTTCGTAGACTCTAACGTTTGATTTCTGCACCGTACTCTCATCACTGCTTCCATAATTTTCAGTATTTTGTTTTTTCCTTCATCGAAAAATTCAAAATCTCACTATGATAAGACTTATGTGTATGCGTAGCCTAATACTACGACTGTAGTTCAATCATACAGCGACGGCACAGCAATACTCTACAACGTTTTTGCTGTGTTTCGCATTGGCTTTCAACAGTTGAAGATAAAATTTGTTTCGTGATTAAACGTTAGATTATCAGTCAGCGCATTCGATTTCATATTTACTAGCATTTTTTGGTATTATTATCTCAATATATCGTGAAAATTGACTCAGTCTTTTTGCGCCGTAGTCTTCAATAATAATTGTGTTATTATACTTCTTGGAATATTCTTTCTTTCATTGCACATGTTGTATGGAACCTAACTTGATGGGTATGAAATCGAAATGGTACTATCCGAATTATGGACTGTCACTGTTTGTTCGAATAGTTATTTGATGAAAGTAATTCACCATCATGAAAATCTCAATGTTTCAACCCCAATTAATATGTGGAACCGGTGAACCACCTGTTTCACTTGCATCTCTAATTTATAATTGTAGATCTTTGACCGTTTTCTCGATAATTGACCGATCCATCTCTGTTTGCTTTGCGAACAAATGAAAAAAGGTGATCCGTTAAACGGCGATGGGCGTTCCTCCTCTCATGGCCAGCTATATTTTAGTGGACCTGGGAGCAATTCTAGGCGTACCTCAGCGATCACCTGGGGCCTCTATCGGTAGCAAACACATTAGCTCAGTATAAATATCGACCACCTTATCATTATCCTTGTCTTCTTTCTCATCCTTGAGCTATATAGCAGCAGCCTCACCTTTTCTAATTAGTAATTTATCGGGGGGTAATTATCAGGTCGGGCATTTGGTGAAATTTTTACTGGCCGTGATTTATTGATGGGCTTTTAGTTATTAAGTTGACTAATGGGCATGTTTAAAGACAAGTGGAATATGATATATTATGGCTTGACATTGATACTGATTGAATTCAAAATATGTCAT